TGAGTTTGCTTTGAGAATTTCTCTCCTACCCACACCTCGTCTCCTAATTATTTTCTTTTACTATAGTCACAATCATTTTTGTTAATTATTAGCTTTGACCATTGTTGTCTCTGTTTTTTTTCGTTCATGTCCTCTTTCTTTATGTCTAAGAATCTTTGATTGATTGTTACTTACTAGTATTAGACTATTAGTCGTCCATTAACTAATAATTTTTTCTTTTGTTAATTTCAAATTTCAATATTCAAAAGTTTGCAACTTTGCATCTGTGTCTCTTGTTTTCAACTCTTTTTCTAGCCCTAGCACCCCCTAATGTGTTCAATTTGTCAAAAGGTTTATTGGATCAAATCTCCCCTTAATCAGCCTCGTTAATTAATAATGCACACTTTTGTCTTCTGTTTCTAGTTAGAGTAACTCCTTTTTTTAAAAAACTAATTTAATTATAACCATCAAACTTACATATTCATGGATATTTCATCTTTCAGAAACTTAGTTTAACATACTTAACCTACAATTAGCTTTGGTAAGCCTACTCTTGTGATTGATAGAGAGTAACTAGGTTTATTAGAATCACCTCTTAACTTAGGCTTAAAGTCTGATGCTTTTCAATGCCTTCACCTTTTACTCTTTGACTCCCGGTAATATGATCGTGACCAATCTGAAGAACACGCTTCCAAAATGTAGTTTTTTCTCACTTCTTTTTGTGGTCTTTTTTCTTGATATATCAGCCGAGATTTGTTCAACAAATTACAAGCTCAACGATGGTGGGCAGATAACTATGACAAAGTAATGGAACTTTACAATGTTCAAAAACTAAGTCGCCAAGCTTTCCCGCTTCCCACGCCGCCTAGATCCGAAGACGAGGTTAGATTTTCATTTAATCAGTTTCTTTAAACAAGACAGTTAAACCCGTGTGGATTATTCATTCACTAATTTCTATGGGAATCTTTGTTAGAATGCAAAAATGGAGTTCCATCCAGAGGATACTCCTGCAACACCGCCTTTAAACAAAGAAAGGTTGCCTCGTACTATCCATCGTCCAATTGGATTGACAGCTTACTCATCCTCTGATTCACTCGACCATAACTCGGTGCAAAGCCAGCAGTTTTACGACTCTGGTCTACTCAACTCAACTCCTAAAATTTCAAGCATTAGCGGAGCCAAGACAGAAACTTCTTCCATGGATGCTTCCATAAGAAGCAGCTCGTCTAGAGATGCAGACAGGTCAGAGGAAATGTCGATAAGCAATGCGAGTGATGTTGATAACGAATGGGTAGAGCAAGATGAGCCTGGAGTTTATATCACCATTAAAGTTTTACCAGGTGGGAAAAGAGAGCTTAGAAGAGTCAGATTCAGGTAACAGAAATCTTTCCTTACATTGTTTCAAAACCTGGCTTTATCGGTTCTTGAATCAAGAAACCATTTCTTTAACTTGTGTTCTCTTTTTTGCATTGTAGCCGAGAAAGATTCGGGGAAATGCACGCGAGACTGTGGTGGGAAGAGAACAGAGCAAGGATACATGAACAGTACTTGTGATCATCATCTTGTCTTTAAATCTTGTCTCAATGCATCAAAACGGTTTTGTGTTTTTGGTTTCTCATTCTCGGTATACCGTTTTTTGATTCTATATCCTTTTTTTTCATAAGAGAATCTTTCCACAAGTAATCCTTGTGCCTACGAGAAATCTCAAATATGAATTGTTTAAGGAGGGTTTCAACGAAAGCATGTAAAAATATATAATGTTGTCTACTTTGCTCAATATGTGTTCAAATATGTTGTTACTCTTTGGGTCAAAAGCTTTAAAACCATTCCCCAAGTACGAAACTAATCTAAGTTAAACAAACACGTTTTTATTGAAAGTGAAAAATCTAAATATATTTATTGAGACTTTCTATTCCTGCAAGAAATCACTTTCTCCAAAAGTCATTTTTCACCTAACGTCTTCCAAATTTGAAGACAATTTATATTTATGTAATGGGTTAATTAGTGAAATGACATGTTTGAGCATGTGAATTAGTTAAGTAACGTGTACAGATTATAAATTTGTTAACTAACAAAGAGAAATAAAATGAGACTATTTTACCCTTTATAACATTCAATGAAAATTGTCACATTTAATGCATATTTAATCCAAATTTGTTTTGTAATAAAAAGAAAAATATCATTATTTTCTAGATATAAACTTTAAGTTGACATATATATAAAAGTATTTTTCTGTATTTTACGTTTTTTCAAAAAAACCATGTTTCTTTAAGTTTAATAATAATTGATTATTATTTAAATAGNTNAANTATATAGTGAACTATATCATAAATTAAATACTATAGNCATAAATAGTGAACTATTTCACTATTTAATTAAACAAATAGTGAACTTTATTTTAATATAATTAACTAATTATATAAATAATANTGAACTATTTGTGAATATAACAAGTATAACTGATTTTCTGTGAATAAAATTAATTATATAGATAACTATTTATTTATATATAGCCAACTACACATGGATATNTGANCAA